ATTCTAGTACCTGATACTGCAATGCTACACCAAATTACATAACCAGTAGATGATACTGCTTCTTTGCTTTGAGTGACTTTTCTAATTGTAAGTATTGCCAGATGCCTCAATCAAATTTTCAATTTATAATACTGTTGAATAGCCACGAATGTCAAAACCCGATATATGATGCTTCTGTTTTGGCTACAGTTACGTTTTCCATACCTATTAGTACAGTGCTACTAAGAGTCTCATCTGTATTTCCACATTTTATTAAATTGAATCTTACCTGGCGCCCATAACAGCTAAAAGTTGACCAGGCTTTGCTTCTCCACTTACTGGAAATGAAAAATAATAAAATAATCAATCTGAAAAACTATCTACTTGCAGTGAACACGTTATATTAATTACTAACAGTATGTAACTGAACTTCACCTCGAGTTGCTTCTGTACAAGTAAGTTTCGTGTGTAGATATTAAACATAACATGGTCAACTGAATCTGGGTTAACAGATAAGAGAACATTATTTTGACACAAATATATGATGAAAAGCCATTCTCTGCAACATTTATATATATATATAATCTCCAGTCTGAAAGTATAACTTTCTATACAATAACTCAGTTGATGCTACGATTTATTGTAGTCTACAGATGTACAAACCCTACATGTTAGAGATTTTATTACAGTATTGGCAAACCAGACGTGAGAGGGTAAACTATTAATACACAAATCCGTTTTAAACTTTCCATATACTTCTTACCGTTTTTAAGAATCAGCCTCTTTTGCTGTGTTGCTGAACTTGTTTTTTTTCCAAAACAGATTGGCCAGACGTTCTTCTTTTCTGATACAGAAACACAGATATTTCTCCAAGAAACAGTAGTCCCTGTGTCCATTTGACTGATCTTATTGAAATATTCGAGTTCATTGTGAGCATATTTCTGAAAAACTTCGTGACAATTACAGAACGCCCAATGATCTTTCAAACATTTATATTAAAGTTACTTATATAAACATTATGTGTTATTAAGGAACCATCATATTTCTTTAATTTATTGTTTTTAAAGAATAAAGAATAAAAAACTGAAAAACATCAGTAAATATAACTAAAACCAGTACTGGTGTCAGTAAATTCTTTACGATCTTCAAAGCCAAACAGAATCATAACCACACCTACTAAAACATGTTGAACATTGGAGATAATCGTTAATGTTTAACATACATACATGCACCAGATGAAGTTCATACAAACTTGTAATAGTCGGTTGTTTGGCATTTTTTGGTGCAAAGAAGTAAACCAGTAAAAATACTAAAAGTGAAATTACGGAAACAAGATGGCCAGAGAGCAACAGAAGGTTTAATCTGGAAAAGCTTGTTATGACATTGCTCACCCCAAGTCAACTGCCAAGTGGCGCGAAGCCTTGCCTTGAATATAGGACTATAGTCCATATATGGGATAGACGCAGCCGTGATGGAATCGGAGCAGACAGACTTAGCTGTGGTGTCAGCGAGCTCGTTCCCGCGAATACCGACGTGGCCTGGTATCCAGAAAAACTGGATGGAAACAGAAGATAGAGATAAATGGGCCAGTCATTGTTGAATATCGGCGAGGACAAGGTGAGAACTAACGCTAAGCGATTCCAGGGCCAGTAGAGAGCTAAGAGAGTGACACTCAAGACACAGCCTTGAGGGACTCAAAGTTCCTGTGTAAAATAACAGGAAAGAGTCGAACCCACACAGTAAACAGTTCTGAATAAAAATTGGTAAGTTGCCACACAACCTATATGAGCGGAGGTCCCGCAAAATATCATACATCCACGTAATGTCATAAGCCCTCTCAAGATCGATGAAAACAGAAACAAATAGTTTCCTCTTGAGAAAGGCTTCGCTGATCGAGTCGAATCAGGTGTTCCATGGTAGAGCACTGTCGATGGAACCCATTGGGTGAGTGAGAGGAGGTTGTTTGATACAAGATGAGCATTAACCATCCTCTCTAAGACCTTACAAAGACAGCTAGTCAAAGCAATGGGATGATAATTAGAAGGAACCTTTCCAGGCTTAGAAAAAGGTAGGGCAATAGCCTTGTGCCAAGCATCAGGAAAAACGTTCTCCTGCTAGATCCACTTAAAAACAACCAGAAGAAAAGCAGCAAGAGAGGCATGAGAGAGATGGCACAGCATCTCATAGTGAACTTCATCAGGTCTGACCAATATACTGCCAGACCGATGAAGAGCAAGCTGGAGTTCCACCAGAATAAAGGGCGATTATAGTCATACAGACGATCAGCCTTATAGGAAAGAGGTGATCACTCTGCTCGTGACTTGAAGGCCAAGAAGGTGGGGTAAGAAAAAGAAGTGCTGGAAAGATTAGAAAAGCTCTCGTCGAGAGTATCGGCGATGCTTTGTACATCAGCAACTTCCCAGCCATTGGAGAGCAAGATGGAAAGGGGATGGGAAATATACCTCTCATTGACCTTCTGAATCTTGTTCCATATGACTATGGAATTGGTGGTAGAGGAGATGCTAGCTGTGAACTTAATCCAAGATTCCTTTTGGCTTTGACATCTGACCTGCCGAGCATGAACATGGGCCTGCTGGAAAGCAATACAATGGGAAAGAGTGGGATACCTGCAAAAGGTATCCCAGGCCCGTTTCTGAGCCTTGTGTGCTTGCTGGCAGGCTGCAGACAATCACAGACCAGGATAGCATAGGAAACGTGTCGAGGTGTCGGGAATAGGATGAACAGCTGCTTGAATAATGCAATCCATTACTGACTCCATTCAGTCGTTAATATATGGCAGACTAACGATAGCAAGATTCAAATTTTGAGAGAGAGAAGGGGGGGGTGAAAAAGAACCAGTCAGCCTGGTCCAACTTCTACTGTGGCACTCAGGTTGGGTGGCATCGACCACAACCACTCTCCCTCAAAACTATAGGAAATTGAGCACTGCCCCGTGGATCACTGTCAACCCTCGAAGAAAAATGAGAGAAAAGTGAAGGGGAACCGATAGACAAATCAATAGCCATAAAAGACTGACTAGGTGCATGGAAATATGTAAAAGAACCAGTATTGAAGAGAGACCGGTTGTGATCCAAGAGCATAAGTTCCACCAAAAACCCTCCCATCAATATCAGTACCACCGCAAAGGGGATTGTGTCCATTAAACTTTCCCAAGATGAAAAAGGGAGATAGCAACTGTTCTATGATAGTATGAAGGTCTGGTTGATCGTAAGTCTCTCCAAGAGACTAGTAGAGAGAGCAAACAGTGATGGTACAACAAATTAAAAAATCGGACTGAGACCTTCCAAAAGGCAGTCTCGAGACTTACAACACTGATGCCCATCCAACAGCTAGTTCAAATATACCCCCCCCCAGTAGCACAGCGGTATGTCTGCGGACTTACAACGCTAGAATCCGGGTTTCTATACCCGTGGTGGGCAGAGCATAGATAGCCCATTGTGTAGCTTTGTGCTTAATTACCAACAAATAAGTTCAAATATAGAACTAGCACTATGTCCATCCAACAATTCAAATGTAAGTTCAGCTATTTCAAATATAGAACTAATACTATGTCCATCCAACATGTGAAGTATAAGTTCAACTAGTTCAAATACAGGACTAATACCATGTCTATTCAATATGTCAAGTATATGTTCAGCTAGTTCAAATATAGAATTAACACCAAATCGATCTAATATGTGAAATATAAGTCCAGCTAGTTGAAATATAGAACTAATACTATGTCCATCCAAAATCTGAAGTATAAGTTCAGGTAGTCCAAATATGCAGCTAATATTATGGTTGGTTGTTTGGAGTTTTTTGACAAAGGGCAACATGTGCCAAACAACTGATAAAAATCTCAAAAAGTAAAATTCAATAAAATATAAAAATGAATCGAGTTAAGTATAAACAATGTGCAAAAAATCTGATGAAAGACTCAAATAGAATTAAAAAGGCCAATGGCTCGAAAATGTTTTTAAATAGAATCATTTTGGACAATGTCACCATCGCCAATGATATTGTCCAGTGTCATGGCTAAACCTTTAGAAAATAAGTGTCTAAAATGGTGCTGTTGCTCAGAGTCTAATGATGGCACGACAGTAAAATGTGGGCTATTGTGACTCGAGTGTCACAAAGGCAACACATTGGTGGATCAGTACCAGATAAAAGAAAACGATGAGTTAAAATACTGTGACCAATGCATAGCCTAGCCAGGACATGAAGAAAAATTCATGCTATAACTTACAAATTCGTAAGCGTATGTTAACGACATTTGGCAGATTATCAGTAAACATTACAATGATTTCATACGCAAAATATCAAACGTTTTTATTAAGTCATGAGGTTTGTTAAGCAATGTTTTCTCATGCCCTTTTTTTTCGCATGTTGCCTATCCAACGTGCAAAGTAATTTTCATTTTAAGGTTAAAAATACTTTTACGCATCTGAAATTTTTTTAATTTCACATGCGAAATCTTTATAATGGCCAAATAGTTATCAAACGTTTCTTAAGAAAAAACTTTATGCTTTATATATATTATTTTCACTAATGAACCTCCGTACGGGTTCGGTAGATATGACCGATCTTGTAATCACCATAAAAAATTAGGAAATAAATATATTTTATGCCTCTTTAGTTCTAGAATGACAACAAATTTTAAAACGAAAACATAAATGTTTAGACTAAATAGCTTAAATCTCATAACATTATACATATTTATTATTTATATTATATTGACCTTTCAGTCGTGCCAGGCTAACAATACAGAAGTTACAATGACGCGGCGCACGTGCACTCATGTTG